CAGATCGAACCTAGGCCCCCTGCATTGGGAGTGCAGAGCCTTAGCCACTGCGTCACCAGGGAAGCCCCTTAAATTTATTTTCAATTAGCATTAAAAGGGCTGCTTTCTAGTCTCTCTTCTTTTAAATTTAAATATAACGAAGGCAAAAGTAGGAAAGAAAAAATAAGTGATTGCCAGGGCTAGTTTGGGGGAGAGATGAATAGACAGAGCACAGAGGATTTTTAGGGCAGTGAAAATGCTCTGTATGATATTACAACGATGGATGTATGTAATTATACATTTGTCCAAACCCACAGAATGTACAACACCAAGAGTGAACCCTAAGGTAAACTAATGGACTTTGTGTGATTGTGATGTGTCAATGTAGGTTTCATCCTTGTTTTAAAAAATATATATGGCATTCTGGGTGGGAGATGTTGATAATGGGGGAAGCTATACATGTGTGAGGGCAAGGGGTACATGGGAAATCTCTGTACCTCTCTCTCGATTTTGTTGTAAACCTAAAACTGCTCTAAAAAATAGTCTTAAGCAATAATTTGACATTTTAAATGGAACTGGCACGTCCTGGTAAAAGGGAAGAAAAACACCTTTACTAACTACAGGCTTTCTTCATTAATAGGGAATGGTCTTAAAACATAGTGAATTCCATTAGCTAATTATTATTGGAAAAAACAATGTAGTAGCAACTCTATGCAAAAGATAATCATTTCACTTGACGGACATTGCCTTTGGTTAAAGTAAAATACAAAACAGTCTCATGAGTGGGAAGCCATCCATGTGGCCAACCGGGGTTACATTCTGCGGTTACCTCATCGGGGCCCAGGCATCTGTCTACACATCTGTCTACATACACTGCTCCCCAACTTCCAACTCTTCCACTGTGGGGACTGGCCCCGCTGATGGTTAACACAAGTCCTCATCACCTCTTAGGCCAAATCGACCTCATGCCTTTGGCACAGAGCTTTGGAGTATTAAGTGAATACCTGGTCAAGTACTTGAGCAGATTAAAAAGTCCTCTTTGAAAACATACTTGGCTCTAAGTGCAGGCATCTGTGTGGCCCAGCTTCGTGTGGGGATGAGCATCTGTGTGTGGGCGGGGGGTACATTCCCACAACAGGAGCCGACCCCCTTGCTGTGTGTCTGCTGCAGAAATCATCTAGAATGGATCTCTCCCATTAATAACGTTTGGCATCCAGGAAGCTACTCTAATAGGCAGCATGGCATAGTGGAAAGAAGACAGATTTTAAAGCCAGATTCCTGATTCTGCCACTTTCTATGTGACTTCAGACAAGTTACAGAACCTTTTCCAGCTTCTGGTTTTTCTCATTTGCAAGACTGGGATGGTTTGCACAGGATTGTTATGCAAATTAAATTAGGTACTTATGCAAAGTGCTTGGCATACAGACTTTAAATACATACTGATTTGCTCTTTTATTTTCCCTCTCTTCTTTCTGAGCCACAAATAACAGCTTACACATAGTGAGTGCTTACTAGGAGCCAAGCGCTGCCTCAGCTACATGTAATCCTAACCACACTCCCGTGAGGTGCTATTAGTCTAGCCATTGTATCAGTCTGCTCAGGCTGCTATACAAAATACCACAGACTGGTGGCTTAAACAATAGAAATTTATTTTCTCAAAGTTCTGGGGGCTAGAGGTCCATGATCAAGGTGTTGGAAGGCTTGGTTTCTCCTGAGGCCTCTCTCACTGCATCCTCAGGTGGCCTCCTCTGCGTGCATGCACCCCTGATGTCTCCTCCTCCTCTTATGAGGATACCAGTCACACCGGATTAGGGCCCCACTCTCATGACATCCCTTAACCTTTATTACCTCTTTAAAGGCCCTGTCTCCAAATACAGTCACATTGGGAATAAGGCCTTCTACATGTGGATTTAGGGGAAACACAATTCAGTCCACCCACCCATTTTCCATATATTGAGAGGAACCTGCCTAACGTCACACAGTTGTTAAGCAGCAGACCTGACATTAAAACTCTACTGAATTCAGAGCCCAGGCCCTGTCCACTCTGTCCTAAAGCCTGTCCACCAGCATGGCTGTTGTGAAGCAGGGCCTAGTATAAGAACCTGGGACAATGGAGGGACTTAAAGATATTTCAGTTTCTTTAATGCATCACAGAACTCAACTATAAATTAGCTCAAATTGACCGTTTACCAGATATTCTTGAAATATCTGTATTTTCCCAGTAGGATTATCAATATTTATTTCAAAGGAAAGAAACTTTCCCTGCCTCTCTTATACATCTCTAAAACTTATAATTAAAAAAACAATCCTTTTAGAAAGAAACCACATGGAAGGACTGAAGTTTGATTATTACATTCTTCAAGAATGCTGCTTGGATTTTTTTTTTTTAAACCTATGACTATACACATGTGTTTTTGCTTAAGATTCAGTATTTACAAGACTGCTTTGGAATGCTACCACAGTACCATGTAGTTTCACAGAAGATATCTCACTTTCCTTTTGCTATCTTTACAAAGGGTTAAAAGGCCAGACACAGAAAGCATTATACCTCTAAGATTATTATTAGTGACTGACTGTATATATTCAGTCGTGTGCTGTCCTAGAATTTGACAAAAAATGAAATGAAAACTCTAAGGTAAGAGAAAGGATGAGCCTAGACAAGGTAGAGTCCTACCACCGATTTGTGACTTGTAGTCCCGTATTTCAAGACAAACTGTAAAATGCCAACTTAATAAACATACATTTATTTTCAGCAAGGCCAAGATTCCTTTGGTTTCCGCTGCAGAGCCTTTTCAGATTTACTTATTGGAATTCTGGTAGAGAAAAATGATCCAAGCTGTTTCCCATCCTAGTCAGCTGGGGCCCCGCATAAAGAAGCACTACAGGCTGAGTGGCTTAAATAACAGAAGTTTATTTCCTCACAGTTCTGGAGGCTGGAGCTCCGAGATCAGGATGGCAGCATAGTTGAGTTCTGGTGGGGACTCTCATCCTAGCTCACAGACAGCTACCATCTCGCTGTGTGCTCACAGACAGCAAACTCTCTGGGGTCTCCTCTGAGAAGGAGGGCCTCACCCTCATGACCTCACCTAAACGTTATTATCTCCCAAAGGTCCCATCTCCAAATACGACCACATTGGACTTCAACATATGGATTTTAGGGGACATTAATTCAGTCCACAGTATTTGCTCAAAATGTCTTGGGGGAAAAAAACCTCAAAGTGTGTTTAAATTGCTTCTTTGGTGAAAGAAAGACACTATAATGTAGACTAATTCACTGGATTCTTAATTGTTCTTGTAGACTGAAGAGCAATGATGTGGTCAGTGAATCAGGAACAAAGGGCAAGAGGATGGTCACTTATGCCTTCAGTAAATGTTTCAGTGCCTACTGTGTGCCAGGCATCATGGAAAGAGAAATGAAGCTCTCAGTTTAGTGTGAGAGGCAACCAAAGAATAATAATAATTTTGATACAGTGTGGAAAGGGCCGTGATGTAAGAGGTGCTCAGGATTATTAATGGATTAGCAAAAGCGGGTACTGGGGACTCAAGCCAACCAACAAGGGGAGGGTGTCAGGGAAGATTTCCTGGAAAGAGGTGTTGCCTGTGCTTTAATGGTCCAGGATCTGCCAATGGGCTTGCATTCTCTATTCCTTCCAGCAGGATGCCCTGGTGCTGCTGTTGGCATCCTGTTTTGGAGATCTGAGTCTGGGAAGCCTCCAGGGCCACAGGCTTGACAGGCACCAATCTTTTCTTCCATACTGGGCGCTTGTCAATTCAGGATTAAACCTTCATTATGGTGGAGAAGCACATCACCAAGCTGTCCTCTTAAATCTTTCGTATCTCCACTGATCATCCTGTAGTCTTCCTTATTCGGGGACAGATCTTTTGAAATGTTTGTGAGGTTCTCCTAGCTAGTCTACATGTCTTGCCCTTCCTGTGGTCTTAATATGAAGTCCTAAGGGGGGCAGACCCAGGGTGTCTGATTGAGTACTTCATATGTTACTGCGGTGATAGCAATGGTCACTTAGCTCCCACTGGACCTCATATAACATGAAAAACGTCTTTCTCACTATCAGGTGAGGGGTCTACTAAAAGTACAGAGGTGTTCCTAGGGGTATCCTGTGACTCATCTATTACTTCTCTAATCTCTAAAGCAATGGCCTTCAAACATTATTTTGCACGCTATAAAAAAACTGTAAGCGGGCTTTCCTGGTGGCGCAGTTGAGAGTTGAGAGTCCGCCTGCCGATGCAGGGGACGCGGGTTCGTGCCCCGGTCCGGGAAGGTCCCACATGCCGCGGAGCGGCTGGGCCCGTGAGCCATGGCCGCTGAGCCTGCACCAGTCTCGGCACTGCTGCCCAGGGCATCCCCTCTTCCTCTACCCTTTCCTCTTCTTGTGTTCCCAAAGAATCTCATACTTGACACAAGAGTTTAAAGCAGTGGTTCTCAAAAAGAATAGAGAGGTTGCAACCTCTCTATTCTACGCAGTTGCAAGGTTTAGAAACAAAGAGTTAGGATGCTAGGCCAGGGGACGGAGGGTGAGATCAGGTTTTACAGAAGTAAAATGGTTATCCTGGACACTAGCCACGCACCACAACAAAGAGATGACTGAAATATTAGTACTAAATAAGTCCATGTGGAAACTCTTTTCTTCACAGAAGGAGAGAGAAATTAATCTGGTAGTCTTTAAAACACAAACAAAACTTGATAATGTTAGCCTCTACTCAATTTATAACTTGCATCAAACATCACAGAGATTTTAGCCATGTTAAGGTAGTTGCGTTGGCCGCCAAGGTTTTCTCTCATATGGACTGCTCTGTAGGTTAGGTGATTCACTTATGGTTGGATCTACTTAACACGGTCTTGGTTCACGAGAACCAGAATTATTTAGATAAATAAATGCTTTTGGCCTCAATTATTTGCCTTGACCATTCAGCTTATTTTTTTTTTCTTGTACAGAAAATATTTAGGACATTTAATTTTATATCCATGCCTCAAATCACTTGACATTTCAAAAGGACAATACCTTTCTTCTTTGAGTTGAGTAAGCATTCGTGCTCTTCTTTAACAGAGATTTTACAACTCTTGATTCGACAGAAAAAGGATCGTCTTGAGCCAGAATACGCACAACTCCTTCCGGTGTGGAAATTACTGTGAGCTTGCAAACCAGCTTTCATAGTGCAAAGAGGTAAGAGAATAGGTAGAAAATAATATTTTCAAATAATTTTGAAATCTATCTCCTAACATTTTCTGGTCATCTATTACCTGAGAAATGGTTATTGACATTATTATACAGTAAACCCCAAAGTGAAACATACCAAAAAAAATGTATTTGTCAAGCAATCACATTTTGATAACTTATAATCACTTGAAATTTACCTTTATATTTTTCCCCAGGGGGGCAGATAATAAAGATAATTTAAATGAAATAAAAATTAAATGAAAAAAACCTTAACTAAAACAGTAATCAGTAGCATAAAGCATTATTATTTTTATATTATAAATAATTATTAGGCGATAAGCATTTTCAGAGAAGAGAAGTATTTCTGGAGAAGATAAAGAATATGTACACTTCTCAAGCACAATTACACAAGGCCTTTCACATTGAGTAGACCTAACTAACACATTTAAGAAAGAGAATAATTGTCCCTCAGCATACAACTAAATAATAAAAAAACTCCAGCAATTTTTTTTATCCCAAATGATACTTTCCTATAAAGATTTTATTAGCATATGAAAAATAGAGAATATGAAGTAATCACATTTTCCCCAAAGCATCTTCAGATGAATGTATTTGTTTTTATATATGTGTACAAATACATGAATTCTCTATATAGTTACATTGTTTTTTTAAACTGAGGTTGATGATTATAAAGTTTACTAAATAATTCTCCTCTTGATAAAACCATAATTAGCTAATGTTTTCAAAACACTGTACAGCTGTATTCTGAAGTAATAATTACATTTACATAAAATGGTAAGAATGCTGAAATGAGTACTTACTTTCGGCATCTATTAGCTTCTCTCTTGGTGAAATATCAGAGGAAGAAAGTTGTTCCTTTACTTCGGCAACATCTTTTGGATGTAAGAAGTCAAACAAGCTTTGTCCAGTCAAACTAGCCTATTTACAAGGTAGATGTTCATTGAAAGTCAGTATCATGTCATTTCTACCTTTCCTCATACAGACATAGGATACTCCTTCTTTCATTTAAAGTGGCTTTTTCTTAAGCTCAGGTGCATTTACTATACTGGGTGACCTTAGCTTGGTCAGTGTTAAAAACAGTGATAGGTGTAGATAGAAAAAACACATGCACACAGACCCATAACTGGATACACACAAACCACATACACGCACCTAATAACTAACATTCTATTTATTCTTGTTACTCTTGGTAACATCCCCAATTCACATGTTACTTCAAGGCATATTATTATTTACTTTAAACTTTACCATTAGTAAAAGAGATTATATTACAGTATAATATAGAAGTCAGAGAATACCTGTGATTTTTATGGTGTAACTCAAATTTACCATACTGCTTACAAATAATTACCATACTGTTGATAACTCAAATCCAACCTGGAATACGTCTCATTTGGCATTCCACTTCTCCCCACATGCACAGCATTCCTCAGCCCATGACTTTGCTTGCATGGTCTCATCACCTGGAATTCATTACCTCTGTTCTATAAACTCAGTTCCCTGGCTGATCCGGACAACTGCCTTTTACTCCCTGAATTCCAAGATTCCTTCTCCCAACCTGAAATGTCTTCCTCCTCTTCTCTGCTCACCTTAAAGCCTAGGAGACATTCTATTTCACATGTGAGGCCCACAGTGATCACCCCTCTTCTGAACTCCTTTATTACCCAAGCAGACATTCCTACAGAAGGTAAAAAAATGGACCAGCTGGCCCAAGTGGCCTGGAGTGCTTGGCGGTTAGATATCGCTATCAAAAACAAAACAAAACAAAAAAACACTAGCAATCTGATTTATACATCAGTCTATTGTGTGACTGGCTAACATAAGTCTATACCCAGAACTGCTTCAGAGCAAATCCGTTTTTTTTTTTTAATTGAAGTACACGTGATTTACAATGTTGTGCCAATCTCTGCTGTTACAGACAAATCAGATTTCTAAGGCTGAAAAGCTGAAGACCAGACCCTGTACCATGGGGATCCCAAAGTCCTCCTGAGCAGTCAGTGAGTCTCCTGAATCGTCTCTGAAATGCAAAGTCAGTGTCCAGTGGGGCTGGCCTCCATGTTACTAATTTGGAACTTAAGAGTTACTTTGAATTGTCAAGTATCTTGGTGTGTATGTATGTGTGTGATGTTTTCTCTATTTCCAATTAGAAGACAGAAAAATCAAGTCTTACCCTGCTTTTGTGTCCCCACCTATAACCAGCTGCATGATTCATTTGGTTTTCACTCCCTCTGTATGTAGGTTCATAATATCTTTTTCTGTTACTTAACTCATTATCTATGAATGCCTTCTATCTCTCCAAATTTTCAAGTTTGGGGGCAATATAGGCAGAGATGAGATATTTTTTCTTTTTGTTTTTGTTTGTTTTTTAACATCTTCGTTGGAGTATAATTGCTTTACAATGGTGTGTTAGTTTCTGCTTTATAACAAAGTGAATCAGCTATACATATACATATATCCACATATCTCTTCCCTCTTGCGTCTCCCTCCCTATCCCCCCCCTCTAGGTGGTCACAAAGCACCAAGCTGATCTCCCTGTGCTATGCGGCTGCTTCCCACTAGCTATCGGATTTACATTTGGTAGTGTATATATATCCATGCCACTCTCCCACTTTGTTCCAGCTTATCCTTCCCCCTCCAAGTGTCCTCAAGTCCATTCTGTAGTAGGCCTGCGTCTTTATTCCCGTCCTGCCCCTAGGTTCTTCACGACCATTTTTTTTTTTTTAAAGATTCCATATATATGTGTTAGCATACAGTATTTGTTTTTCTCTTTCTGACTTACTTCACTCTGTATGACAGACTCTAGGTCCATCCACCTCACTAAAAATAACTCAATTTCGTTTCTTTTTATGGCTGAGTAATATTCCATTGTATATATGTGCCACATCTTCTTTATCCATTCATCTGTCGATGAACACTTAGGTTACTTCCATGTCCTGGCTATTGTAAATAGAGCTATATCTATTATTTTTATTATGTATTATATTATTCTATTTCTATTTTGAAGGAGACCACAGATGCTAGTTTATTCACTCTGTTGGTTTCAGTGCTATAGTTTTTGAGTAATTAGTTTAAATTAAATGGTGTTCAGTAAAAAGGAGGCAAATCAATCACACCACTAGTTAAGTGAAAGATGTATTTCAGAGTTTGTTGCCAGAGCCTAGATAAAAAACTGTTTTGTAGTGTGTATAACTTAATAAGTAATAAGGCTGTCTCTTGGAGGAAACAGAGAAGGGTGACTAATATTTTTCAGACACTCAAACATGATATCGTATTTAGTGCTTACATCCTGAGAGACAGGTATAATCATAATTTCCACGTTTTACATAGGAAGAAGCTGAGGTTCAGGAAAATGAAATAACTTGCTGAAGGAAGTGAACACTCCTGTCAATAACAAAAATTCATACTTTTTCCACACATCTTCCCATCTCTCTTAGTTCTAACTTAGCAGAAGTGAATCCCACAGCCCAATGGGAAGAGAGAGTTCAGAAAAAGAGCTTCAAGATATGTTTTTTTTACAAAATAAACATAGTGGGACTTCCCTGGTGGTCCAGTGGTAAAGAATCGCCTTCCAATGCATGGGACACGGGTTCGATCCCTGGCTGGGGAACTAAGATTCCACATGCCATGGGGCAACTAAGCCTGCATGCCGCAACTACTGAGCTCGTGTGCCTCAACTAGAGAGCCCATGTGCCTCAAACCAGAGCCCATGCACCTCAACTAGAGAGAAGCCCGTATGCCGCAACAAAGAGCCCATGCGCCAAACAAAGAGCCCACACCACAACGAAAGATCCTGCATGCCTCAACTAAGACCCGACGCAGCCACCCCCCCCCAAATTTTTTTTTTTAAATTAATAAACATAGTAAGAAAATATCCTCAGTTTTGGATACCTGATCATAATTAAGTATTTTGGAGACTGATTTCGAAATGAAGAGAATTTTTCCTCTTTCACATCCAACCACAAATAGGAAGCCTTCTGCAGTCTAGGATTTAAAAATACAAAGTGAATATTTTAAAAGATATCTTCTGTCTCTCTCATACACATACATTCAGATTTTGAGGAAATTACTGTAGCAATAAAACTAGTAGAGTGGTCACAAGAGCTAGTAAAATTAATTTTAAGAAATTTTCTCAGTACATAAAAAGACTGATAAAATCAAAGTGAACCCCAGTCTAAAGTAATGTTTTTGACTTGGAAAGTCCAGGCATGGAATATCTAGTTGAGATATTTTAAAATATAAAAATTACCTATGTCGAATTCTATACTCATACAGAAATTCTGTAAAGATATCAAAACACATCAATAACGGTTGCCTGTGGATGTACTGAGACGGAAGGACTGTGCAGATTGGGATGAAGGAAGCATCAGGAATACTATATTTGAATTCAGCTGTTCAAATAAAAAAGGGGCTCTTTAAAAAAATTAAAAGAAAAACGGACAAATGTATATCAAAAAATCTTTCTATTTAATCATACTAAGGCATAAAGCCTAGTAGTAACAGCATAAGATCAAGACATGTATTACCTCCTGGGAGCAGGATAAGCCAATGACATGGTCATATTTTCCACGTCAAGTAAACCTGTACACCAGTGAATTTGAAACCCAGGCATGCACGTGAAATGATGAGGACAGAAATGGCAAAGCATCGACTAACAACTCATTCAGTAAGCAGTGGCTGGCTCATCTGCAGAGAACAGGATCCTGAAGGAATTGAGTACAAGGCAGATGGCCTTGAAGGAGGTGCCAATAGTGGGGAATAGAGCCTACGGTGTGGGAAGTGAGTGCAGCAGGCAGTGTAAGGAGCTTAGCATTAAAGACAAGCTATGCTCTCTCCTTTGGAAAGTGCCTATCCTCTGCCTCTACATTCATTAGCCCAAACTAATAAGACATGTTTACTTGCATAACTTAAACTTTTATCTTAAAGGAAATTTGGTATAATACAGAGTCCTGTATGTTTAGAACAGGAATTTTTAGAACTAAAAATCTTCCTCCCTTTCAAACAAAAATGAAAGGACAAATACAACTTAGACAAACATATCTCTTAACTTACCTTAAGAATTAAGTGTCTGAGCTCATTATCCTGAATGAATGAAGGTCTGTAATTATTTCCTGCATAAGAACTTGTCATACCTGAAAATAAAGAAGTCAACTAGTTATTAAAAATAGAGATGGAGGGACTTCCCTGGTGGCGCAGTGGTTAAGAATCCACCTGCCAATGCAGGGGACATGGGTTCGAGCCCTGGTCTAGGAAGATCCCACATGCCACGGAGCAACTAAGCCCGTGCACCACAACTACTGAGCCTGTACTCTAGAGCCCCTGAGCCACAACTACTGAGCCCCTGAGCCACAACTACTGAGCCCGCGCGCCTAGAGCCCGTGCTCCGCAACAAGAGAAGCCACCACAATGAGAAGCCTGTGCACTACAACAAAGAGTAGCCCCCGCTCACTGCAACTAGAGAAAGCCCACGTGCAGCAACGAAGACCCAACAGAGCCAAAAATATAAATAAATAAATAGAATAGAGTATTTCTTTAAAAAAAAATAGAGATGGAAATGTAGTAAATGCTCAGTGAACATTAGCAATGCTGCTGTTGCTATTGGTGACAACGAGGATGGTACTTTCTCTTTTAGCACACTCTAAGACCTCTTCTGTAATCATTCTTTCTTCGTTATTACTAGATTGAAGTGTTCTGCCTGTCAGACTGTAAATTCTTAGAACTGCTTATTCCATTATACTCAAATATGCAGACAGTAAGAGCTGTATATTGAAAAGTAATGAAGTGCAATATATTATCTATAACATTATAATAACATGCAACAATATTCATGACTCTGGTTATTTTTATAATTTCTTAGCTTATTAAAACTGATCATATGAATTACCCTGAATATAGAGATTCTGGAATTCTAAGCAAATTTTATGAATTCATAAGATTTCCCATATGACCCTTTAAAGATCATATGGAGACTTCTGATAATACAAAAAAATGTATAAAATATAAATGAAATAATTCACTTTAAGCCCTTAGCACAGAGATTACTGTATTAAAAGGAAAGAAACCAGAAGAGCTGGGAAAATGATAAGTAATGATCATGTCAAAGCTAGGTAAAATTTGACCTGAGAGAAGTAAGGGAAGAACTAAAAGTACGTTTGTCTTGAGGGCATCCACCAACCTTGACAGGGAAAGCCCTTCATGGCCACAAGGGGGCGCAGGGGACAGTTCATCAAGCCAAGGTGTGCTGTCCCCAGATAACCTCCAAGCAAGGGTGATTCAAAAGTAAATCACATTTCCCTCCCTTACACTTCCCAACCTCCCTAACCCTAAACCCCTCCTTCTAGGCACCGCAAGGAAAGATGCTTTTGCAAAAGAAAGGTAGGGTAACACCCTGAGACCTGTTAGCAATTAATTGGTCCTTGGATGAATTTACAGCCGAAACTCACCAACTACCTAAGTGGTGGGGAAAAAACAAAACCAGAAAATCACACACACTCAGAGTGATTTGGTAAAGTCTTCTCAGACTGGCAGCACCCCTTAAAGGCCTGGCATAAGCAAATGAAATCTCTTTTGGAATCTACCTTCTAGGTAGCCCTCAAAGAATTTCCCCAAATGACTTCTTCTTCTTCTTCTTATTACTACCCAGTAGCCTGGTAGGAGGGAGTTGAGAAAGGGACGAAAGATGCAGACTCTGCATGCCAGGCCAGGCACAGGAATAAATCAATGTGAGTGAGGCGCTGACACTTCCAGGCTGGCCTGAAGTGAGGCTGGCGGAATCGTGCTGAGGAAAGCCAGTCAGTGTCAGTCAGCCAGAATGGACGAGCCCTGACGAAACAGGAGAGTGAGGACGTGAGGACGTGAGGACGTGAGGACGTGCCAGGGAGAAAAAGAGGGCAGTCAGCAAAGAGCTAAAGCTAGGGTGAGGTGAGCTAACAAAATGCAAGCTGTGCGATTCTGTACGCCTGCCAAAGGGCAGTGACAAAGTCGATTCTCGGATTCTGGTGGCAAAAATAAATGAGGAAACATGATCACTGACTTTTGTTATAAAGTTCATCACCGTCATTAAAAAATGACAGTATGACAATGATCATTATAATAAGGATAATAATGATCAATATGACAGTAACAATTCTTCCTCCTGTCCTCTGACCACCACCTCCAGCATCAAGAAACCCTGTGCTCTTTCTCTGATATCTGTCTTAGGACAAACTTCATATGATATCACTTATATGTGGAATCTAAAAAAATGATACAAATAACAGAAAGAGTATTTACAAAACAGAAACAGACTCACAGACATAGACTCACACTTGTGGTTAACCAAAGGGGAAAGGTGTTGGGGAGGGATAAATTAGGAGTTTGGGATTAATGGATACAAAATAAACAACAAGGACCTACTGTATATGGATAGCTCAATATGTACTTTGCTGTACACCTGAAACTAACACACCATTGTTAACTATACTGCAGTAAAAAAAAAGAACAATAATGAAAAAAAGAGAAACACTGTGCTCACCCTTTACACTCGTCCTTTACTCTTAACAACAACCCTATGAGGCAATACATTATCCCTGTTTCACAGCTGTGGGAGGTGAGGATTAGAATGTGAAATAACTTAAGTCCCATGGCAATTAAGGGCAGGGAGCCAGGATTCGAACCCAGGTTTGCCTCCAGGACCCACGCATGCATTATTGGCTTCCAGGTATTCAGACCCACGCAGGTTCTCGGAAAGCGCCTGCTGCTGCAGAAGGCTGACTCCAAATGTGGTCTGCAAACCACTGTCGTCATCACACCGTGGTGAGATGAGCACAGAAATTAAGAATACACATTTAGGGCTTCCCTGGTGGCGCAGTGCTTGAGAG